GGGGAATTGCAGGAACGCCGGCCGACTCACCGGTGCAGCAAGATGGCGGAAAAGGAAGAGGCCGGGCGCCCGCGCGGGATTATGGGAGGGCCATGGGCGCGAGGTGGTGCGCGGCGCCCCGCGCGAGATCGCGAGACTTGACGTCCCAGTCGGGACCCGCCGCGCGCCAGGCCTGGCGGTCCCCATTGGCCGAGGACGGCACGTCGCACTTCCGGAGCGACGCCGCTGCCCGGGTTCCTATAGCAACCAGAACGCTTCGCGACTAGGCGGGGCTACGGCAGGGCCGGAGGGCCAAAACGGCTGCGGCCACGGCGCCGGCCGCGCTCCCAGGAGCCCGGGGAGGGGGGAAGGCCGCCACGGCCAGCGGAACACCCACCACAGCCCCGTGAAGGAACCGGGCAGCGGAGAGCGGGCTCTCCAGGAGGGGGGAGACCCAGCAAACCGCCCACCCACAGACAGAGCGCCAGGGAGGAACGCCCAACGCTTTGGCCGGGGCAGCCGCCCCGCCCGGTGAGGAGTCAGGCGGGGAAGGTGAAGGTCTGAGGTGAGGGAGGCTGCGCCAAGCGATGGGTTCTGCTTCCACCGAGTCTTAACAGAAGGGGAGCGCGGCTCTCGGGACCGCAACAGCAAAGGTAGAGCACCCCGAGCCAGCGCTGAGGCTCCCGCAGACGCTGAGCGGTGTCACCCCGTCTCTTCCGATACCCGGGGATCCTCCCCGCCTGTGCCAGCTCAGCAGCGCGCTTTCTAAATAACCGCTTCAAGCCGCAGCATCTCCCCGCGGCTCAGATCCATCACAAGTTTTACTGATCGGGTCTGATTTGTCCACAAGCCATCACTTCTATCAGCGTCAACCGACTACGGATGACGTTACAGCCTTTCCCCTCCGCAGCGGGAGCTGTCAGTGCACCATCACGGCTGATAAATTTTTACTACTTACAGTGAGCTATTTCCAACAAAAGGTGTTTTTCTGGTAGGACGCTGCGCACCGACTACCACGTGGCACTAAAACACAATTCGCAGCCCCGGTTCTTGATTGAAAGACACATTTGCACAACTTTCTGTACATTCACAAAGAGCAAGTCTTCAAGAAGTTTCTCTTTAGTCTGTATTTACCTATTCAACAGTCACAATAGACACTGAAGAGAGTTCATTTTAAAACAGTAAACTTTTAAAATGCATTAACACAGGTTTTAGCTTTTTAAAGAAAAAAAGTTCCGTTTTAAAAAAAGGAGGGAGAGGTCATAGAAAAGCACAAACAATTCAAACAGGCTTATTTACAGAGACAAACCTAGCATATTCAGAGTGATTTTGTATATAGACAACAACATTCATAACACCAAACGTGCTACATGGCTCCATGACAGCAGTTTTTAGAACAATCAGCTGTTAAGGTAACACACACCTTAACTCATTTTCTACAGTCTCAGTGCAATGAGTTGAAGTTTACGCTACAGCTAAATAACTGAACTACAAATTTATATATTCCAAACCCCTATCCAACAGATAATCTGGTATATGCAGCCAATAAAAAGCAAACAGATTCAGTGGGCCAATGGTATCACCTTCTGCCCTGATTTTGGGTATGGACCCTCAGGTATGATCATTCTTATTCAGCTAATTGTCCTCCTTCCACAGGGATCAGTAGTAACAAGCCTCCAAGAAGTGTAAGCTTTCGGAACTGCCTTTCATACTTGCTGTAGCCACAAATTAACGATCAGTGAAACTAACACAGTTACAGAAATGCTATCACACATTGCAATTCTGCTGTTTCTTCAGTTGGGGTACTTATTCACAGGGTCTCTTAGTTTGGTGAAGACACTTAATAAGCTCCATACACAAAAGGTCAGGTACTTTCATATAAGATCAGCTGCAGGCTGCAGAACCCTAGTCAGCACAGCAAGAGACACAAACCCACAGCAGTTGCTAGTGACATTTTCACTTCATCAGGGAGCCAAAAAAAAAAAAAAGCCAGTGAGCAATACAACTTCTATTGTCTTAATTATACATAAATTCTCAAAACTGTTCCCAAGGAAACCTTTTACAAGACTGAACAGCAGTTAAGTCTTCATTCATTTTTCTTCTCCTTGTGCTTGAGAAGTTTGTTTATCTCCCTTTTCGCCATTCCAACATACTTTGTAATGATCCCATGCTGGTTTAGTCCAGGAAACAGCAACAAGAAACTTACTAGAGAGAGAGGAAAAAAAAAAAAAAAAAAAGGGGAATTACTTAATACTCCTTTAACAAGCTTCTGTCACCTTGCAATTCCTTGCTTCCCTTAAGGTCCAGTAACTGCTTGAAAACAGAAGAATATAACCCTGCAGCAGAAAAAAAAAAATCACCACACATATAAACAAAATTTACTTCTACCAGCCTCATACCATTTCACACAGCTAACAGAAAAGTTACTTCTGGTTTGCACACTGCACACTTACCAATAAGATAGGTCAGAAAGAGATTGTGAACTTGCTGTCCAATCCAGGCAACCACAGCAAGAGAAAAGAGCATGGTCATGAAGTACTAAAAAATGAAAAGGGAACAGTTACCACAGATCTGTTGGGAATTCTCCCCCTTCCCTTCAGTATCCAGCAACACTTCAACATTTAAAACTAACTTGAAGTTTGCTGGCTCTTCCACATGTGATGCCTATGCAATAGGCTTGTTAAAATTGAGATTACAGTGTCTACAATTGTATGCTCTCATTTATTTTCAGACCATCAGTTTTACAGGATGCCAGTTCTTTTCTGTCCAGGTATCCCTTAGAGTCAGACTACGCCATCCCCACTGACACAGCTTCAGCCTCACATAGTACCTGAAGCTGTTTTCAGGACAGTAAATCAGTAGTTCATGCACCTAAGCTAACACATTACTAAAATCTAGTTTTCTGGACAGTTCACATACACTGGAAACAAGCTGCGTTTCCAAAAATTGACCTATCCTAAGAAACCCAGTTTAGCTTTATCTTAATATCAAGGGTATGCTCCTAACTGCACAGTATTGCAAGTTTAACGTCATGTATCTTGCCATGCCAGGTTTGAATAAGATGTGTGACTGGCATTAAGTCACAGCCACAACTGCCGGTTCTTGGTTTGAAATACCAGTTTATTCAGACATGTGCCTTGATAAAATACTTAAGACAAAACAAAGCAAATAAAATCTTAAGACAATAGAGATGAACTCCTAGAACTCAATACCATTTTAGGCTTCTCTTCCTTCAGTGTGAAGAGACGTTTCCACCAGCCAACAATTCGGCGACGAGATTTTACCAAATTGCTGCAAATCTCGTGAAATCTTTGCTGCTGTTCCGTAGTCCTTTTATTAAAGAAAAAAAGCCAAAAATAAGAATTCAAGATTTAATCTGAAATTTAAAAGATCTCCCATAGTATGCTTCCAGCAGTAAAAATTTATCCAGTACTTATCCTGGCATTTTCTTCACTTAGTTTTGTACCTTATCTTTATCGAGCATTGTAATGCAATTGCCCATGTAATTTTTCTGTATACTCTCTTAAACTGACTTGCAAAGAGCAACAATATGCAAACCAGAAGACCATTGATTTTAATCTGATACCAGCGTGATACACACAAGTAATGCACACCTGAAACCAGTGTGTATTACTTTGGCTTTTATGTTGGTTCATTATTAGACAAGAACATTTATCCACTAGTCATCTTAAAGCAGATACACTAAAATTTACTTTTAACTCAAAATTTAGTTCAAATAAGGTTCTTCTCCAGCTTACTGTTTTTACATAAGCCTTGCCTTTCTTCAAATCTGTTTCAATCACTTAGTCACATTCATACTCTCTGCATTACTCTTTTCCTTCATTGTATTTACTATTGCCGCTCTTTCCAAACACATAATCCAATACCCTTCTTCGTAATTTTAGTTCTCAGTATCTATTATCCATTAATTACTAAAAACTAGTTTAGCACAACTAACTAGCATCCTTAATGGAGAGCAAAGACTGTGCCTACTCCTTCAAGAGTCCTGTTTTTCTAGAAGAGAAGGAACAATAAAGGTATGTTGTAGTAGTTATCTTTTAGAAAAAGAAGGATGAAGGACATCTTGCTAGTATCCTCACTTCATATACTATAGAGATTGCCAACTTCTTACTACAATGACCCTGTAAAGTAATCATTTAATATCTACAAGTCCAATATCCATTTTGATGAAGTTCATAATTTATTTACACTTCAAGAAGCTGTTTTAAATCAAGCTTTTCTCACCATTTATTAGAGCCAAAGATTCTAGGTGCAAGAGCAGGAACAAGATAATCAGCCAAACAGAGGAACATAACAAAACAGGAGACGCCTGAAAGAACTGATGGGTCCAAGTAGTAGATCATCCTGCAGAAAGAAGGTAACAAATGATTTCTGGACACTCAGACTCAGTATTTATACTAGACATATTTAGTCTCCTCTTCAGATTGGCTCAGGATGTCAAACAGTAGACCTACCCTCTTGCCCAACCTCAAAAAAATTTCCAAATTTGCTCCTATTACTAATAAAAAGAGGTTTAAGTACTTCAACACTATTACAAAGAAATACAAATAAAAAAATGCAATTTTCTTAATGCACTAGATAAGAAAATGCTACAATACAACAAGCATAGTCTGAAGTTCAATAGAAGTAAAAATTCATCATTATTGCTCTCTCTGAAGTTGACATCTAGTGAACTTAAAACACTGACTGGGGGAGAAGGATGAGTGAGTGAACATATGAAATAACCAGGTAGAGAGAAAGCTCTAATCTTGTTGGTTCTTAAGTCAGTCACAAAATTCAGAT